GCTTCCTATAAGGTTTATCAACATCAGCTGTTTCATAGTGAGCTGTGACTGAAATACACCTTGGCCCCAGTACATAATAAGTGTTATCTATATAATTCACGCGACTTATCTATTCGGTGCTGTTTTAACTAAATTGCATTATTTGTTGGACTAAGTACAAGTTTCCTTATTAGTACTAAAACTGTGGGGCCCTTGGTACTCTCTGAGCTTGATTATTTTCTTGCAGACGTTTCATTACCCAACTAGGTAACAAAATCAGTATTAGAAGAGTGTGGAGTTTGCTGAATGGAAGAGGAGGAAGGAGAGGACGGTGACTATGGGGTCCTTGATGCTCTCTGAATTTCTCTTATCTTCTTGCAGACATTTCATGACCTAAGTAACGACATCAGTATTAGAAGGGTTTGCTGAGAGGAGGAGGAGGAGGAGGAGGACTGGAATCCTTGATGCTCTCTAATTTTCTCTTATTTTCTTCCAGACATTTCATGACCCAACTAGGTAACATCTTCAGTGCGAGAAGGGAGGGGGTTTGTTTATATACAATAGCTTGGATGTGTTGATGGGAGGTGTGGTGTTTTTCCTTGGTAGTTTCTTCATTAGACTGTCATTTACTGCTTGTTTGTTTGTCGGAGTTGATAGTTCCTTGATTAGGTTATTGTTAATTGCTTGATTATTTGTCTGGTATTAAGCCCTGCTTATCTGGCTGTTGATTGCTAATGAAGGATGCGGCCTGGTGTTTTGTTTCCTTTTTAGCTTGTTTATTGTCTCTACTGGAGGATGAGGAAATGTTATTTATCTCTATGTACCTGTGGATAGCAGATTTGTCTGAGTACCATGTAGAACGGAATGGGATAGAATTCTTTACTGGTCAAGTGTTCTCGGACACACAAGGAATTTGTCTCCGGTGCACAGCAGTGTCTTTTTGCACAATTTACTAGCATTTTTGGATTTAGCTCTAGGGTGCTCGGTTGCCCAGCTGAAACTACAGTTAGGTCTGGCCACGTATTGTGAAAGCTCAGAGAGAGGCAAGTTCAAAGCTGAGCTGCAAATCTTCTCTTTTAATAGTTCTAAAAATTAGTTTTTAGAGTTAATTAAAATGAGTTCTCCTGAACCCTCATATATATTTAAAAGCACAACTACAATGACATGGGAAAATACCCGAACAAAGCTGAATGCCATACATGTAAGTACCCGCGAAAACTTAAGAAAACATTATATATATATATATATATATATATATATATATACACACACACACACACACACACACACACATATAAATTCTTGAGCAAACTTTCTTTTGTTTAATAACCATTTTTGTAGTATCATCCGGAAGGAATTTTTTCCCCCAGTTTCATCCCTAAAGTTTTTCTCACCCCAGGACCTCTGTGAAAAAGATACCGTCCCACTGATAGGGCACCATCGGTATAGATACCAACACATTTCCTCCAAAACAGACCTTCTACAGGCAGTCCTCGAACTTATGACCACAGCGGAGCCCTAAAATGTCTGTTGCTAAGGGAAGACAGTTCTTAAGTGAATTTGCCTCCATTTTATGGCCTTTCTTGCCACAGTTGTTACGTGAATCACTGCAGTTATCAATTTAGTAACACCGTTGTTAAGTCAATCTGGCTTCCCCATTGACAGAAGGTCGCAAAAGGGGATCGTGTGATCCTGGGACCCTGCAACCATCATAAACGCAGGTAGTCCTCGACTTACGACCACCGTTGAAGCCCAGCATCTCGTGGCTATGGGAGAAATTTGTTGAGTGAGTTTTGCCCCATTTTTACAGCTTTTCTTACCACTTTTGTTAAGCGAATCATTGCAGTTGTTAAATTAGTAATACCGTTGTTAAGTGAATCTGGCTTTTCCCCCTTGACTTTGCTTGTCAGGTCGCAAAAGGGGATCACGTGACCCCGGGGTCCTGTAACGGTCATAAATATAAACCAATTGTCAACCATCCGAATGTAAATGAAAAGACCGTGGGGATGCTGCAACCGTCATAAATGTGAAAAAAACCAACACTTTTTTTGAGTGCCGTTGTAACTTCGGTCACTAGATGAACCCTTGTAAGTTGAGGACTATCTGTACATGCCAGTTGCTGAATTTTCATCACGTGACCCTGTGGGCTGTGTGGAAAATGGTCATAAATCGCTTTCTCCAGTACCGCTGTAACTTCAAACCGTCCCTAAACGAATGGTAAGGAGGACTCCCTGCATTTCCAGGCACGAAGACAAAAACACTCAACAGATTTGTTTTTTGCAGCCATAATGCCTTTCCTGCAGTGGTGGGATTCGAATTTTTTTACTAAAGGTTCTGTGGGTGTGGCTTGGTGGGCGTGGCCATGAGACTGGGTAGGCGTGGCTTCTTTTTTTTTGCTTTTTTTTGCTTTTTTGCAGCAACTCCTACCCGTTTTTTGGGCCTTCTAGGCCTCAGAGGAGCCTTGGGGGTGGGGGCGGTTTTGCTCCCATAATTTATTTTATTTTATTTGGTTTGTCAATTGCTTACAAGATAATAGGTATAAGTAAAAACATAGTTATGAATAAATGGGTACATATAAGAAAAATAAAAGAAGAATAAGAGAAACAATAGGACAGGGACGGTAGGCACGTTGGTGCGCTTATGCACGCCCCCTACAGACCTCTTAGGAAAGGGGTGAGGTCAATAGTAGACAGTCTAAGGTTAAAGTTTTTGGGGTTTGGGGAAGAAACTACAGAGTCGGGTAGAGTATTCCAGACATTGACCACTCTATTGCTGAAGTCGTATTTCCTGCAATCAAGTTTGGTGCGGTTTACTTTGAGTTTGTACCTATTTGTGTGCTCTTGTATTGTTGTGGTTGAAGCTGAAGTATTCATTGACAGGTAGGACATTGCAATGTATGATTTTATATACCATACTTAGATCGGACCGAAGGCGGCGTAGTTCTAGGTTTTCTAGGTCTAGAGTTTCAAGTCTGGCGGCATAAGGTCTTCTGCAACGAGTAGAGGAGTGGAGAACTCTTCTTGCGAAATATTTCTGGACTTTCTCAACTGTGTGGAGAAATAAGGCTCCTCTGATGCTCAGGAAGGCAAAAAAATGGAGCGGGTGGGCATCCTGAGCCATTTTTTGCCTTCCTGGGCCTCAGCAAGGGGAATCCCAACACAGCTGATTATCGGGAGGGGGGAAAAAAGAAAGAGATACTTTATGCGAATGTCAGGCAGGCGGGGTGAGCGAGCATCGGGTGGGAGGGCAACCAGGTCGGGGGCGCGGCCAGCCAGAACTTACTACCAATTCAGTGACCCACGCCAAATCCTGGCAACCAGTTCGCCCGACCCGGTGCAAACCGCCACCGCTTTCCTGAATTTCACCATCGCTGTCCAATTCTACTCATGACATTTATTTGTGAAATCAAATCTTTCGACACAATCCACGTTTTGTAATGTTGACAATAATAATAAGAGCCTGGCAGGCTGGGAGCTGAGCTGCAGTAAAAAATTCCTGCCACTGCAAGCGCCAGTGCATAAAGTTTAAAATAATAATGCTTTGTTTTGTTTTCAATCACAACTTCTCATGAATACAGGAAAACAGTGAGGAAACGAAATAATGCACAGGCTGCATTCACACCAGATAATTAATTATAGGGGCTTTTCGTTGAAAGAAGAGAATTGATTGAAAATTGATTGTTTCTGGGTGTGAGGATTAAAAAGGGACAAAGAGATTGAAAAAAGAATGATAATTACACTACTGGATAGAAAGAAGGTCAGAAGACATAACATATTGTCATTCATTCTTTTTCTCTTTATCTTTCTTTTTTGTACATAGATTTTACTGCATTGAAAAATTCTAATTTATTTATTAAATTTTTATGCCACCCATCTCGCTTAGAGGCATATCTATCTATCTATCTATCTATCTATCTATCTATCTATCTATCTATCTATCTATTTGTTTTCTTAAGTTTTCGCGGGTACTTACATGTATGGTATTCAGCTTTGTTCGGGTATTTTCCCACGTCATTGTAGTTGTGCTTTTAAAGTTGTAGCAACGTTTCGACAGACGAACACAATACAGACGAACACAATACAGAAGCCTGATGATGGCAGATGAGATTCTGTTGAAACGTTGCTACAACTTTAAAAGCACAACTATAATGAGGTGGGAAAATACCCGAACAAAGCTGAATACCATACATACATACACACACACACTACACACACACACACATTAAATAACAATATTACACACCCACAGACATAGCTCTCCTTTTGCCATCCTATAATCCCTTAATTCAAGGTGGAGTCGGTGCAATACATATATATGTATAATTAAAACCTAGAATTTTTCAGTACACCGAAATTACATAAACCAGTAAAAGGTAGAAACTAAGGAAAAAAGAGAAAAGGAAGGGGAATGAAAACTATACACATATTTTAAAAAAAGCAGGATAAAAGCAGATAAAAGCATTTAGATAAAACAGCGGAATACGGAAGGATCATCTAGATTTGAATTGGATTACATTGGATTAACGTTTGTATGTAAACGTATACATATTATACAGGTATAATAAAAAGGGATTAATCCCCATTGATACTCATCTGTTTATTATTCTTACACGCATTTATACAAGCATTTTTAGACATGCATATTGCAATGCAGAGAAGCGCTGCCTGTATTATATACACTCACCTATTAGTCGCCTCGAATGTAAACACCCACGTGGCGTTGGCGAGGAAAGAAACATCTCGGAAACTCCGCCTCCCGAGCAGGCGATGCGTCTCTCTACAATTAGTAGATCTATGCGGACTCGAAATGCCGTTTCGGAGACGGAAATGCCGTTAAAGACGAATTTCGTCCCGACGGGAGAAACGGCGGTTTTTTGACAACTCGAGAGACCCCCGTCACCGCACCGCTCGCTTTTCACTCCGGTCCCGCTCGGGCCGGGAGGGAGCGAGGCCGAGGCCGAGGGGAGCAACGTCTGAGGGAAAGGGGGGGGGGGGGGTTGGAAAGAAAGATGGGAAATCTACGTCACTTCCGCCACGCGACTAGTCTCCCCGTCGTCATGGCGGCTGAGAGCGCCGTTGCCATGGCGACCGGCAAACACGCGGAGCCGGGCTGCGGAGGCGGCGGCAGTAGCAGAGATGGTGAGACCCGCCGGAGCTTCATTTCCCCCGCTTCGCCCGAGAGACGCCGGGCTGATCGGCTCATCCGACGACGGGGTACCGTTCGACCCGTGCCTATCCCAGGAGGGCCGTTGTTAAGGAAAGCCGCCCAAGCCCCTCTGCACATGCTCAGAGACCCCCCTGCCCATTCCTTAGTACCAAATCATTGCCGCTTTTTAAAATTATTTTGAAATGAATTTATGTTTTTTTTTAACGCCTGTCGTAGCCACAAACTTTTGCGTTGGGCAAATATCATAAATAGAAATGAATGGGTTATTAGCAGCAGGGTGCTTTAATTCTTTGATATTTCAGATAGATTTCTTTTTTCTTTCTTTTCTTTCTTCCTTTCTTCCTCCCTTTTTCCTTCCTTCTTCTTTCCTTCCTTCTTCCTCCCTTTTCCTTCCTTCCTTCCTTCACTCACTCACTCACTCACTTGTTCATTCATTTTATTAGCCACCCATCCTATCACAGGGTAGCTCTGGGTGAATTTGGTTTAATTTAATTTCATAATTTATTTTCATAATTTAGTTTAATTTCATAATTTAATTTAATTTAATAATTTAATTTAATTTCATAATATAATTTAATTTAATTTAACTTTGATGTTTTAAATGCTTTGCAGATCTGCTGTGGCTGGAAGCATTCCCCACAGGGGGAACCAAGCCAGCCAAACACTGGCTAGTTGCCTTCATAAGAGAGATAAAGATCAATTGGTTTATTTCTTGGTGGCAGAGCCAATTTGCAGAAAAGACAAGAAAAGAAAAGAAAATTTGGTTAATACAAGATTTAAGGGTTGCATTCACCTACCCATCCCTTAGCCTGCATCCAAGGATTCCCAGATTTTTCTGGATTCACACCATGCATTTTATCATAAGCTAACGAAAGAGCCTCACGTAACACGCTAATAATAATAACAACTCATAACATGGCAGAGATAACTCTGGTTGAAAAGAAGAAAGTGTGAATAATTGATATAGAAATATCAGGGGAGTAAGGGGTAAAGAATGGGACGGGATCAGAAAGCATCAAGATCTGATCATCGAAACTGAAATATTATCTCATAAACCCTAATGGTTATCTAGCGGCACACTAAGTACCATATCAAAATGAAAACTAAAAATGAAAAAAAAAAAAATTGGATGGCACTTAGAAAATCTGTGTATGGACAAGATTTCCATCTGCCAGTTGCAAAAGATGACACTGCTTAGATCCACAGATATCCTGTTCGTGCAAATGCAACATCTTTGATTCTTGGGAAGAAGGTAATGCAAATGAAGGCAGCACCTCTAAAGAACTGCCAGTTCTGATTTCCTTGGGTTGGGAACAGACCACAAATACTATTAATAATAATACTTGGGGCGGGGGGAAGTGACTTACAACCAGTCCTCACCCTTACGCAGCGTTCCCACAGTCGCACGATCAAAATTCAGGCATTTAGCAACCGAAATGTATTTATAAAGATTGTGGCATCCTGGAGTCATATGATCAGCATTCAGGAGCTTTCCAGCTTCCAACAAGCAATGGGAGAAGGCGGATTTGCTTTACGACTGCATAATTCACTTAACAACTGCAGTGAGTTGCAAAAAAACTGGAGCGTGATTCACTTAACAACTGTCTTGATTAGCAGTAGAAATTCTGGCCTCAGTCGTGGGTCACGCTTTTAAGAAGACTCACCGAGCAACTCGGATCCATGGGTCTTTCGAACACGTGTCTTTGTATTCACACGTTCGTTCTTCCTTCCCCGCAGCCGAGCAGTGTGTGTTCGTTGGGCAGCTCGTCCAACGCTTCCTCAGCCAGATCCAGGTCTCATTCTCGCACCCGTTACCGGACCAAGGCTGCAAGTTCGGAAGTCGACGAGAGCCTCTTTGGGCTTTCCAAGGTGAGGGCAAGGAGGGTGCTGGGATCCGAGGTCTTAGAATGGAATAAGACCTGGAAGAGATGGGAATGAAATTGTTTAATGACACATTTTTAAAATCCCTCCCCATGAATTCTAGGGTGAGTTCTAGTCCCACCTTAGATATGAAAACTGGCTCAGTGACTTTGGGCCAATCACCAGGAGATGGTGAGTTCTAGTACTGGTTTAGGCATGAAAGCTGATTGGGTGACTTTGGGCCAATCACCGGGAGACGGTGAGTTCTAGTACTGGTTTAGGCACGAAAGCTGATTGGGTGACTTTGGGCCAATCACCGGGAGACGGTGAGTTCTAGTACTGGTTTAGGCATGAAAGCTGATTGGGTGACTTTGGGCCAATCACCAGGAGACGGTGAGTTCTAGTACTGGTTTAGGCACGAAAGCTGATTGGGTGACTTTGGACCAATCACCGGGAGACGGTGAGTTCTAGTACTGGTTTAGGCATGAAAGCTGATTGGGTGACTTTGGGCCAATCACCAGGAGACTGAATTCTAGTACTGGTTTAGGCACAAAAGCTGATTGGGTGACTTTGGACC